TTTCTAAATGTGTGCTTAGCTTGATCCACTGCTCTCCAGGGCAAAGACCATTTTGTACTTTGATGTGTCCTCAGGACCTAATGTCGCTCAGATCTGTGGTATTCTGTCTGCCAGAATCCGCTAGTGCTGTTGGTACATTTCATAGATGTATTTCTTCATCTTTCAAAGTTGGTAAGAGAAGCTTTGACTACTATAAAATGAGAAAATACCGAAAGAAATGGAGAGCAAAGGAAGACCCTAAACGGTCTTTAAGAGCACACAGCTGTGTGTGTGTTTTCCAGTTCTCTTACTCTGTAGTTAACCATAGTACTTAAATTCACTGATCTGTGTAAGATTTTAATACCATTTCATGAAGAACAAGACATCCCATATGTGTATAAAATGAATAACAGATCACATAACATTTGACACAAACTGAAAAATTATTCTATAATTTTAAATGTTAAGCACATCTGGAACTGAACTTGAAATAGAAAAATATATTACAATTATGAAAAAATAAAGTGTAGTCATTTTTACAACTTCTAAGCTTTTAGATTTTAGAAAGGTAACTAAGAGCGATGCTGGCAAAATAATCAAATAAATCCTTGGAACTAAGTATGATGAGGCACACCTATAATTCCAGCACTCAAGAGGCTGAGGCATGAGGATTACTGAGAGTTCAAGGCCAACCTGAACAGCACAGCAAGGTCCTGTCCCAAACACACAAGCAAGCAATACTCTTGGATATTGAAGGACACTAAAAATAACTAGCAGATTCTAGATATTAGTTTCTATTAATGACATTGAGATGATGCATTGTTTGAAGAACCAAAGCAAACAAAAGTGAAATCTTCAAAACTGATCTGTAAGAATAACATAAAATAAAGCAGTCACACAGAATTTACACTAGACAGTGGGACTTTTGTTAGTAAAATATTTTGAGATACGGCATGATTTTAGTTTTCATGTGCAAGGGGATATTTTTCTCCTTGCAAATATCTGCTGTGAAGAGAAAAAAAATCAGTATTAGCAAACCTTAAATGCTAGTGCAATATTCACTTCTCTTTGCTTGACTATCCCAAACACACTTTATTTCCAATTGTCAAATTTGACATTAAAATAACCACTAACAAATGCAACATCTAGCAAGTATTTAGCTCTTCAGATTTTTTGAACTATTGCATTTTACAGCGTTAGTAGTCATTGCAAAATTAGTTGAATATTACTTTAAACCCCTAGATATATTCTTTGATTTAGAGTGGCTTTATATAATAAGCAATTACAAAGTTGATTTTTAGAAGCTAAGATTCATATCACGAATAATGTAGAAAATATAGAGTTAATTTAGGCTAGAAATTGAACAAAATATTTATCAGATTTTGTATGTTGCTTTAATATGCGCCTTTGTGAAAGGAAACACAACTCATGCAATTCAGTGACTTCAGGTAATTTTGAAAAAGACCCTTAGAACTACTCTGAAGAAAAATAACAGAACATTCCAATGATGAAGGGCCAGGGATATGGCACAGTGCCTGCCTGGCAAGCATGAGGTTATGAGTTCAATTCCTGATATCACACACAAAAAAAGTGTATTCCAATGATGATGTGTGTAAAAGTTGGCTTGTCCGGTGTACCAAATATTTCATTGTGTATAGGCACAAATTCTATATGATGAATGCAATTATTCTGTACATCTAAACTGCACCAATAAATTTAATTATTGATAAAAATTCCATTCATAATAGTGTCAAAATAATAAAATGGCAATAAATTTAACAAAGTACCAATGAAAGAAATGAAAGAAAATTCATACAAACAGAAATGGAAAGGAAGAAAATATTTGTAAAGCGAATGTCTGAAAAGGAATCACCCTCAGAGAATATAAAAAAACCCTTACTCGTCAACAAGGAAAGGACAAATAACCCAGTTTAAAAATGATCAGAGGATCTGAATAGACATTTCTCTGAAAGATATGTAAATGGGCAGCGGGCACATGAAAGGATGCTTAACTTTGTTAGTCCTGAGAAGATTAAAAGTCAAACTCACAGTGAAATGCCACTCACTCCACACCCAGAAACAAAAAGTAAGACAATGCTAGAGGTTGATAAGATGTGAAAAAATTGGAACTTTCACACACTGAGGTTAGGAATGTGAAATAATGCGACCACTTTGGGAGGAAATTTTGGAGTTCTTCAAGTGATTAAACATAGAGTTCCACAGGGATTTTATCTCTGTGTATTTGTGTACCCTGTTTGTACCAAGCATGGAAGACATCAATATAAATGTGTTGGCTGAATAAATGCTGATAACTCATGGTCATTAGAGTAGAAAACAAATGTTCCTAACTTGGGCGTAGATACGCCCTCCTATTTGTTGTTCCAGGCCCAAATTTATTTATTACCATAGCGCTCCTTCAAAACAGCTTTTTAATCTTTACAACACTTGGATGTAAGCTTCTAAACAAAATTCCTAATTTCCTCGCCTGCTGGAGACACTTTGATATTCCCCAATAGAGAGTGATCTGGCAGAGTACTAGGTAAATTCATAAGCATGAGGCTAAAGGGAAAATGTTAACACCAGGCAGCTGAAACGTGTAAGAGGGACAGGAGTCTTATCTTTGTCTCTATAGCAGATTTGAAAGCAAAATACAGTTCTCAGGTCCTGCTTGAAAAGGGCACTGTGACAGTACAGAGGAAACCTGCATCATGCATTTAAACTACGAGTTCCAAATTTCCTCTCAGGTCCATATTTTACCTGAGAAAATGGGTAAGCTTTTGGTAAGTAGGAGATTAAATTTTTCTTTCCTTATTTTCCTAATTTTAGCACAGGGAATAATTAGTCATTGCTATTAGTTAATCACAGCAAAGCAGCAGTAGTAAGTATAACAGCAAAACACAAAATAAAGTTAAATACACGTTATATACAATTCTGACACCAAACTTGAGAGGAGACAAAGATGAGAAATCAGAACCATCTCCAGATCTGTCTCTTTCTGAATACTGAACCCCCTGTAAAACAGAGAGAGGAAAGACATTAGCTCAGGGTGCTGTGGGACAGGAAATCTTGTCTCAGCAACAACGATAGAGAGACATTTTGTAGATCTCAGGGATGTCAAGTCTCCCATTGGCACCAGAGAAGCCAGTAGGCAAAAACCCATGTTCTTCTAAGTTGGATAGTTGGGGAAGAACAGAACCAGAATTCAAGCCCTCATAATGGGAACACAGAACAAGGACATCGGGGGAAAAAAGGACGAGTCATAGTAGATAACAGACTTGAAAGAAACAATCCTGCAACCTTAGCAAATGTTGAAACCTAGTAATTTCAGTCCACTTCCTGAACCCTATAGCACATTATAGGAACTGCTAAGCATGGTTTGCAGAATGGGGCATTTGACATTATCCCTAGAAAACTTAATGTTCATTACAGCAGATAATTTAGCATGTGGGCTGTATAATTCTGAAGACTTCAAAACATGGAATAATAGAGTAAGTATTTTAGAATTTTATTTTTAAAGCAATAACCAAGAAGCAAAAGGAATCAAGGATTTTTTTTTTAATCACTGTAGGAAACCTTAGGGATGGAGCTCTTCAGAGTTATTAAAAAACACTACTAACATTGCATAGCTGGTTCAGTGGGCGTCTCCTTCCCATCTTCCTGTTTTCCCCTGCCCCTCATTGCTTCTAGGAAGGACGGGGGAAAGAACAGAGTCCCGAGGTATCACTGGGTCCCTCACAGCCTGAGAAGAGATGATCTGCGGGGGGCTTTCATAGACAGGAAAACACAGGTGGAAAAAGCAGAGCGGAGTTTGTTTGCTAACCCAGAGCCTCATGTGTGCTAGGCTATCATTCTTCCACTGAGCCACACACCCAAGCCCCTAAAAGTTTCTTTTCTAGAGAAGATTGTAAAGTTTGGGAATAAACGCCTTGGTCCTAGGCCGCCTGGTGGTAAATGCCAAGACTATCATGTTGGGCATAAAGCATCTGCAAGAGGAGACACAAGTTGACGGACAGTTACAAAACATGAGAGTAGGGTGTGGGGTTTATCCTCTCCTTCCTCCGCTGTTCCTTTCTCTTCCTGGAATAACACCGGAAATAAATGTGCCGAGTCCCAAGTGTGACCAAAGGGGAAAGTAAACATCCAGATTTTCTTAAGCGAGGTTTGGAAAGGTTGGTAGTGGGTTTCTGACACTGGGTGAGGCCATTAGCAAACAATGGTAAAGAGGCAGCTCTACATGGGGCAATAAACAGGCTGTAAGACAGTGGGACGGGCTACATTGGGGCAGCTTGCCTGAGATCCCCTGAAAACACAGCAGGTTGACCCTGTGGAAGCACCGAGGTAGGTATTTGAGAGAATTGGAACATGAGGTCCCAGACTGAAAAGGAGAGCGGAGGGCAATAGACCTTTGTGGGGACTGGGGAATGGAGAAGCCCTCCATCACGACTCAGAGAGGACCTAGGAACACCTCAAAATAGGATGGCGGAGTTCGACTCAGTTGAGGACTATGTCCCAAGCAAGGACTCACGGGCAGTTTGCAGGGAGAAGGGGCAGAGAAGATGGGAGAGGTGGTATCTCTTGGGAAGCAAAGGGAGAGGTTGAGGATACCTTAAACTTCACCCCAAAGCAGCACAGCTTTCACCTGGACGGCCCGCGGGGGTCACACAGGCTCCCACTCAGCTCACAGTTAAAGGACAAGAGTTATCTAAAAGCCCCCAGAGGAAAGTTTGTTGGGTTGTCTCCTATTTCTGTAAATGTCCAGCTTGCATTCTCACGAGTTGGGTGACAACAGAATGAAATGTTTGGAGCACGAAGCTAATAAGCCCAGACGGTCGCCGCCCATCCAGGAGCTCCTCAGCTATTTGGGGACATTCTGCCAGCTCCAGAGTGGGCGCTAATAGGAAATGTGGCCGCGCTCCTGGGTCCCCGGAGCCTCGCAGAATGGCACCCATAGTTAAGATGCCAGCGCACGAAACTTGCCACCCCGAGGTTCCCACCGGGACGGAGCGTCCCCTGCAACTCACCGCGCCCAGGGTGCTGCGCCCCGCCAGCCGCGAGCTGCTGCTCCGCCCCGAGCCCCGGCCGTGCGCCCTGGCTGTCCGGCCGCTTGGGCCGCTCCCCATGGGTCGCCGCCGGGCCAGGCAGAGCTGGAGCTGGGCGTCCGCCCAGGCGCTCTGTCGCCGGCTGCTGCCTGCGGTTCCGGCTGCCTGGAGCTGGAATCGGTGCAGCGGAGGCAGCGCCACATTTATAGCAAGGGGCGTTGCTGCTGCACAGTTCCAGGGACGAGGCTCCCTCCTCTGTCCCGCCCCAGACCCTCCGGGCCCAGCCCCCGCGCTCCCCAGGCTCTGCGCGCAGCCGAGGATGCCATAGTCCCCCAGCCTCACCTCCCGCACGCGCTCAGCTGGCCTGCAGTCGGGTGGCACGTCTTGGAGGGCCGCGGGGAAGGAGGGCGCAAAGGGTAGAGGAGCGGCGGTTTCCGCGGAGACACCTCTTCCTCCACTTTTGTTGCTGCTGTTCTTTTAACTTGGGAAACTTAGGGATGAATTAAGGACGCTGCTTTGTCTTTCCTGTAACTAAAAATTTGATAACGCTGTTGTGGATCACAGATCACACATTAATTTCAGGGTTATAAGACATTTGCGGACGTTTGTTTTCTACTATTGGACACCCTAGGGGAGTTGCATTTTTTAAAAGTGGAAAAATAGACAAAGTTCTAAAATAAAACATCACCAAATATTTAAGGACACATTAGTATCAATTCTTCACAAAACCTTCCAAAAAATAGAAGAGCAAGGAGCATTTCCTGTCACATATTTTTGAAGCCAGCACTATTGATACCATAACCAGATAAAGACACCAAAACTACAGACCAGTGTTTTATATGCCCATAGATTAAATCTCAGTGAACTGCAAGCAGTTTGAATCTATAACACATGCAATGAATCATCCACCACGATCAAGTGAGATTTGTCTCAGAAAAGCAAGAGTAGCTTACCAAAAATAAATTAATGAGTGGAATCAAGGACAAAGTCCGTGTGGTCATCCCAATATATTAAAAATAAAATATTTAAAATAATCCAATATTCTTTCATGATAAAAATCATACAACACTAGGAATAAAAAAAGAACTTTCAGTGTCATACAATGTCTACGATCAGACAGAATGATTTCTGGTCTTCCACTTCTATATAGCTTTGAGCTAGAGGTTCTGGTCAGGCCCAGTAGGCAAGAAAAAAAAAAAAAAATAGAAAACTAATGTTAGGAAGTAAAACTAATTTCACCTGTAGATGGCACAATCTTATATTTTAGAAACCCTAAAGAATTAACTAAAAAGTAAAAAGTACTAGGGCTATAAATGAATCCAACAAATTTCAGAATACAAGATCAATTCAAAATACAAGAAAAAATCAGCTTTATGTCTATACACTAGCAATGAAGAATCACAAATGGAAGTAAGAGAACAACTCCATTTACCATAGTACAAAAAATGAAAAATATTTAGGAATAAATTTAATAAATGGGCTGTAGGTAGAGCTCAGTGGGAGGGCATGTGCTTAGTATGCATAAGAACTTGGTTTCAAAACTCAGCACTGAAAAAAACAGCACAAAACTTGCAGCTCTAAACCGAAGAAATGTGTCTGAAATAAATGAAATTAGATCTAAATAAACAGAATGACACTCCATGTCCATTAACTGTGACATTTAATATTATGACAATGACATTATCTTCCAAATAATCTACTAATGAAACAGAATCTGTATCAAAATCCCAGCAAGCTTTTCTTCAGAGATTAAGTTGGCCTAAAATTCATATGATATTGCAAGTGACCCAAAATAGTGAAAACAATTCTAAAAATGAACAAAATTAGAGGACACACATTTCTCAATTTCAAAGTTTACTGCAAAGCTACAGTGACCAAGTATTGTATTATGCTGGCATAGGGAGAGATGTATAAATAACTGGAATTGAACTGTGTCTATAAATTAAACAAAGATGATCCAAGGGAGACATGAAAAAAATAGTAATGGAGCAACTAGCTAGTCATGCATAAAAGAATACTGTTGGGTCTCCTACAATATACACAAAAAAATAAGTTCAGAATGCAATGTACCCCCAAATATAAGAGCAAAAACTATAAACTCTTAAGAGGAAGCATAGAAAGAAATCTTTTTACCTTTGAATGGTGCAAGACTTTTTTGATATGACACTGAAAGCATAAGCAACACAAGGAAAATAGGTATACTGGATTTCATCACTATTATAGCTTCTGTGCTTTAATGGATACCAAGAAACTGAAGACCCACAAAATATAAGAAGGTATCTGCAAGAACTTTTAAAAATGGGCAAGGATCTGAATAGATGTGTCTCCAAAGAACACATGCAAGTGGCCAATAAATATATGGAGAGACACAATGTCATTACCTATCAGGAAAATGCAAATCCAAATTAAGGTGATACCAAATGATACCTAATAGGAAAGCTACAAGAAAAAGTCAGAAGATAACAAGTATTTGCCAGACTATGGAGAAGTTGGGGCCCCCATACATTATTGGTTGGGAGGTAAAGCATTGTAGCTGTTTTGGAAAACATTTGACAGTTCTTTAAAATGTTAGACATGGAGCTGCCATTTGACTCAGCAAATGTAAATTGGTTATTATTTAACTTTACTCCTAGCTCTATAACTATGAAAAATGAAAGCATTAGCTCACACAAAAACATAGACATGAAAATTTACAGCACCATTATTCATATAATAGCCCAAGGAAGAAAGAAGTCAAATAGCTTAAACTGATTACTAGCTAGACAAAATGTGATATATCTTACCATAGAATACCATTAGGCAATGAAAGGTAATACAGTACATCTTACAACATGGACGAACCTTAAAAAGCAAGTGAAAGAACCCAGTTGCAAAGGGCCATAGGTTGAAATTCCACTTAAACACAACATCCAGGAAAGGCCTACATGTTGAGAATTTTGGTGTCTAGGGAGAGAATGAAAAGACAAGAGGGAATGTTAGTACCTGCTAATGATTCAGGGTTTCTTACACTTTAAATGGGTGAGGTGTATGATATGTTGTTTATATATAAATAAAAATGTTCTACAAAAGCAAAATATGACATTTTTGTAGACATGTAAGTGCACAAATGTCTGACTTTCATTTCCACTTCCACGTTTCTGAAGAGAGCAGAGGTGCTGCGGTCCTGTCCTTTATGCTCTCCTTGGCAATAACGTACAACTCTTCCTTGATAGGAGGTACTGCAATCAGAAACATAATGTAAATTAGTATTAATTAAATCATTTTTAAAAAACAAAGGTTAGCAACATGTTGTATGATGAAAGGACTTATTTTCAAAAAATTTGCATAAAATTCAAAATGCCACAGTACCTAAATGTAATCAAGAAGGTGATAAGCATAGGTTTCTTCAGGAAGGCTTGGTCAGAATGCAGCGCTGAGGAAGATCTGGTTCTTGGGTCTCAGATGTGCTAACCCGGGATGGGACAGCATGCTCTTTCATAGGAAATTGTGCCTCTGGGATAAAGTCTTGCCTTAATAGTTTATTATATTCCTGGGATGCTGGGCACATGGTAAGAATCCTAAATGTAAACAAATAATTGTAAGACTGACTTTGAGTCTGTGGGAGAAGCATATCTTCAAGAAAAAGATATTTGGAATGGATTTTAATATAGGCAAGCCAGCATTTATAAAATGGGAGCCAGCATTTGTAAAAATGAGAGCCAAAATTTGTAAAAGCACTATGGCAAATGATGTCATTTGCATGAGACAAGAGTACTGAAATTTTATAGAGTTATAAAAGCAATTATTTATTAGATAATTACTGTATACCTCAGAATCTATTATGCCATTCATATCTATTAAACACATATATGACAAAAAGAGACAGAGAAGGACAGAGAAGAGACAGAGAGAGAGACAATGAGAGAGGAAAGAGACAGAGAGAGAGATAGAGAGAATGAGAGAGGAAAGAGACAGAGAGAGAGATAGAGAGAGAGAGACAGAGAGAGACTAAGATAGAGAGAGACAGAGAAAGAGAGAGAGAGAGGGAGTGAGAGGGAAAGGGAGAGGGAGAGGGAGAGGGAGAGGAAATGGAATGGCAAAGGGAAGGAAAACGGGATTAAGATGTGATATGTTCATGTACCAAGTGCCCAGGAGAAATATATTCATTATGTATCACAAACATATACTAATAAAAAAGAAGTTTAAAAGTATATCATTATCCTTATATATGAGGAACCTGAGATAGAGAGGTACCTATGGTTTGTAAGAGGCAATAGCAATGTTCCAGATTATGTGGTGGCAGACCTTATGCATTTTCTGGTAAAGAGCATGACAGAAATATCTAGAAAGATGGGGTTACCACGCACGTGGAACTCTGAAGTGAGTACAGGTGTTTGAGTTCGGTTTGATTCTGGAGGAATGGGAGGGGCTTCGGTGATGAGAGGCCTGATGTGTGGGGTAGATTAGAGTCTGGAGATGGTGTAAGTATCAGTGACATTTGGCTCACCACGAAGTAACAGTGACGTAACCTATACAAACAAAACTAGGACTAGAGAACCGGTCAAGACAGAAGAGAGAATACAGAAATTCCTAGGGGGCTGGGAGAGTGCACCAAGCTGGTTATAAGGGGCAGCTGATTAGGCTCATCTTTCTAAGGACCTTTCCTTGATTCACTGGCCATCATAATTGGGAAAGAGAGGAGCCTCCTGGAGGGGGTGGTTGGAAGATATTTACTCTGTTGTTAGTTTTCTCTTGGTGGAAATACTTCCTTTTAGTTCAGACGGCTGCAACAGATATTTGTGGGTTTGGACGGCTCCTGAAGCTTTTTATTCCTATTCTTGACGAACATGACCAAGTGGCCCAAAAGGTGGGTGGTGGGGACAGAGCCCGGAGATTAGAAGATGTACTTTGGTGTAGGAGGCAGTGAGGAGGTAGTGGAGGATGCAGAAATGGACATTTCAAGAAGTTTGTCAGAGATGAGAAGGCATGACGGGGAAAAAGCAAATGCCTGAGTTGGATTTCAAAGTTCCAAAACCATAAGCAGGAAGTGGGTGAGGGAATGGGTAGGAAGAAAGAGAACTGGTGAACAAAGAAGTGGTGAAACTGTGAAACCAAGAGGAGGGGAAGACCCGGATGAAGAGCACAAGTGGTGAGACTTACTCCAGGTGCAGAACATGGGGACCCTTTGGGGGCAGAAGTCTGGGGAGAAAGAGAAACGTGAAAATACAATGAAGTTTC